GTTAGGGCTGTTGTGGTCCACTCATTGTGCATACTGATGGTGGGCTGTTGTGGTCTACTCACTGTGTGGCGGTAGTGATGATATTCACCCTGTTCTGCAATTGAGTAGTCCATGGACCGTCGAAGACCCGTACTGATGGTGGGACTGGTAGGGCTGGCTCCATAATTTATCATTCTGTGTCTATCAGAGTATCAGGGCAGACAACCTTTATTAGGGCTTCCCAACGCGCCAACGTCTACTACTGCCTCAACCTCTACGTCAGCTCCTCAAGTCCATATCATCGTATATGCAGTAGCCTTGCTTGACGGTGGCTCTTGCAGAGGAATCGATAGCTCTTGTTCAAATAGTTTGTAACATATATAGTCTCACGTGACACTCTAACGTGATATTAGAATGTGTGTATGAGCCGAGAGCTAGCTTTTCTTTTTTTTATTAAAATATAATAAATGCTTAGAGCTAGCTTATAGTAAGTCACCCAATGTGGCTGCCCAACTCTGCAACAGTGTGCGTCGAATTTAACAAGTTTTAATTAGTTACCAGGTTCCTCACGAGCTCACGTGTACTGTGTGGTCCATGTTGGGTAAAAGGACAGGCCGGGCACCACAGGTTCCACTGGATGCCCACTCCCTCCCACTGTGCCAGCGGTCACCTAGGAAGGGAAGCCAGCGTTGACGACGACGAAGACCGCAGGTCTTCGATGCCCACTGTGCCAATGGTCACCTACCAGCTGATTCACACTTCCAAGTTGCTTTGCTGCCGATACAAGACATGCAAATCTAATAAAGGCTGTCTGCCCTGATCCTCGCAAAAGTGAATATCATCACTACCGCCACCAATCCAGTGGCTTCACCAATGCAGGCTAACAAGTTTGTAGGCCTCAGACAAAAGCAACGATACACGTTGGGAAAAAAAATGTCCCAACTATTTGTACATTGAGCCGTTTTCTAAAAGGCCTAATAAGATGTTGGTTTTGAAAAAATACTAAAGAGGACTTCAAACACATAGAAAGTATGACACGCAAGATATCATAGGGCTGGTGGTTGCCAAGCAGATTGGATGGCTGCTACACAACTGGATTTTAGAAGCACCTACAATTGGTGAACTTAGCCATACACCTACAATTGTTTTTTTTTTTTTGATAATCAACAATTTTATTAGCAGCAAGATACTGCGATGATGGTGAAGATATCACCATTTACAGAGTTTAGAGCCATCACATAGGGACAGCTGATTACATGAGTTGCATTGGTACAGGAAAACTGCATTTCAACTAAAGTCCTATACGAAGAGTTGAAAGCCTGAGTAGCTAGGACATGTGCCGTAGTGTGCCGCAATCTTTGGACCTTGAAAATCTTAGCATTGCTACATGACGAATGGTTGATGAAACTCTGTGTGAAACGCTTGATTTCCCATTGTGGTGGATTGACGTGATCGCTTCCATTGAGGAAGGTTACAAGCTGTTGATTGTCCGATAGGAATATCGGGCACTGGACTCCAATTTCTGAGACAATTTGAGCAGCAAGTGCCAGAGCCGCAGCTTCCGCCATTATCACAGAGGTTGAGTCCATAAGCATGGTTTTATTGGTTGATTGGTTGTTGAGGATGAACATTCCCAGGCCAGCGCGTCTTGGTACCTGCATTGATGAGTCTGGTGATATTGATGCGTCCGTATAGCTGGCAAAAGTGCCGGCTGTGACACTGTGTAAAGAGGTGGACCTAGTAGAGCCGATGCTGAAGGCTGGTGGTGTGTTCAGCTGCATCACTTGCACTCCTTTTCAATCACTTATCCTGCCAAAGAAAAATTATTACCTTGACCATGCTCACATTGATCCAGTTGCTGCCTCTGGTTGGATGCCTGAGCGGTTTGCATGCATGGTGCACGCTTGCACTGATTGCATGCCTCTTTCTCTGGCCGTCCCAGGGAGGCGTGCACGCTGTTGCTGCCAAGCCAGCAAGGCGCGAAAGGTGCTGCCGGCCACATGATGGTCTTGGATCATTGCACTCCCTCCTCCGTTCTAGGGGTCCTGCCATAGAAAAAATAGTACCTTGACTTGCTGCTGGTGATGGCCTGTTCCTGGGGCGCCTGCACGTCGCATCCAGGGGCGGTCTGCACGCTTGCTTTTTGCATCTGTTCATCCTCCATCTTCATGAGGGCGTTGGCAGCATGTGGGTTTTAGGAACGATGTGGCATGCGGGCACCTGGAACGCGGTAACACGTGGCACGCATTTAGGCTAGTCTCAGTGGGGGTTTTATGGCCTAGTTTCTAACACACCCATATTTTGAAACAGTGCAAAAGAGTTTTATCTCCCATAAAACTCTCTCTACTTCTATGAAACTTTCATCGTCTCTCTCTTCATCAAATGCAGTGTCATGTCAGCGTATTTAATGCTCATGAAACTATATGAAACTCCCATAAAAACTCTATCAAGCTCTCACCTAGTTGTAGTAAAGAAAATAGGGAGAGAGGATAGAAATAGAGTGGTGGAGGAGCCGGGTCTGTCGGATCCTCCTCGTCTTTGTACCTCTACGGAGCTGACTCAACTCTAGAGTTATATCGAGGTTTTTCTTTTGGTATTTCTAAGCTTTCTACTTGACTAAGTTTAGTCCTTACTTTGCTTCACTTATGGGAATTCCGCTCGACCCAGTGGTCTAGTCTAAGAATTCGGGCTAGAGTAGTAGTCATTTGCATAGACATGACATCCAATCCCACGGATAGTTGTGGTGGCCCCAGAGCTGACAGCTCTGACCAAGCCTTTGTAGTCCACCATGTTCGGATTGGTGTTTCCGTAGAGTTTTTTGGCAGCCTGACCCCGATCACCTCTTCCCAGTCTTTTCGAGGATCAGAAAGGTACTGTTACTCCGAAGTAAGTTAGTATAGTAAGCCTAAACATTGGTTATCTAGTTTATCTTGGGAAAACCTTAGGAAACCCCTATCTACCCACAAAAACACTTCTTCCTTGACGACCTTGATCTTTTCTAGTTCACTTCTTGTTCCCCGAGGAAATCGATAGCTAGGAATACTCCGGGTGAAAACTACAGCGGTATCCGTGCACTTACGGATTTATCTGTTTGCGTTAACCAATAGCAACACCGGTGTAGGCAGGACAACGCCATCTCCTTCTCCCTTCTTGCTTTGTGCTTTGAATTGTGTTGCTCCAAATATTTTCTAGCACGTCCATGATGTCATGAACTTGATGGTGTAGCCCAATTTCATGCCCGGACATTTTTGCGTGTCAACACACTGTCGTCCTGTTTAGCACTATGGTGAGTCATCTTCTTCTGATATTCCTCTAATGCAATGTGTCAGCTTATCATGTAGCATGTGATAAGGACATGAGCTCCATGCATACGACCATGCTTGGAGATAGAGGATGAGGAGATCAGCGAGGGTGTCCTAACCAAGAAGGAGGGCCGAAACTCATCAGGTTCGAGTCACCAAGGTGGAGGCCCAAATCAAGTTTAAGCCCATACCGGGTTCCAGGATCAGTTTGTCATAAAACTGGTCACACGGGCGCATCCGGACTCCGTTTTCGACGATCCACATATGGATGGAAAGCTAATTAGATAAGGAAGACAATGCAAGTGGTCTCACATCAAAATCCCTTCGGAATCAACAGGAATCGTTGAAACAAGTCAGTGTCCAGAATCTGTTAGGGTGCTGCGACACTGTCTTTTAGTCCGTTGGGCCGTGTATCGTCTTAGAGCCCATTAGGGGGCACGTCCAGGGAGGGTGACGTCCGGGGCTCTATAATTAGCAGCCGTCACTCTCTTTAGGGTTTGGGGTTTTGTTTAGTTCTTGATTTCCTCGTGAAACAGACGTCGTTTTGCTGCAACTGTGCCGCCAAGGCCGCTTACTGTGAACCAGGGCCCCAGTTCTTGATCTTGTTCGCCTGTGGCGATTATCCCTTTCGAGTAAAGACTTGAACTCCTTCTCGTTATCATAAGCCTCATATTTATTTGAAATTTCAGATTGCATTCATCCCGTTCTTGCTTGTATTCTCGATTCGCTTGCAGAAAAGCCTTCTCGGCGAGGTCAATCGCGTTCGCGTGGTTGATAACCAACGGAGCTGTGGTGTAACGATTGCGAGGGTCCGAATCAGTCTTGGTTCGAAGCCTAGATCGTGAACGTCGAGTCTCTACCAATCGACGCTATCATACCTTTCGAAAGATCAGGCCTTGTCTACGTCAGCATGCCCTGCCGAACGTACATGAGTTTGAAGAGATCACCCTACTTTCCCTATGTTCACATTAGTATGGCTTTCAAAATAGCTGAACGGAACTTTTGAGGATTATTATACGTGCCATGTAAAGTTATATAGATACTACAGTCGTCACCAGATCATTTTTTACCAACTTGACTATCTGAATGTTTCTGACATTTTGCGATGTCCATCAGGTGTTTGGGATGAAGAAGAAGCCATTGATCCAAACAACATTGGGCTAATTTGGGCTGGCTTATTATTAGCCATCTATTAATTAGCTCAACTTTTAACTGGCTAAAAATTAGCTCTAGCCAATCCAAACATGCCCTACGTTTGGCATTACATTTTTGCGCCTTGTATATATATGTGTTAGTTGAGTGCTTTACTTTCATAGACAATTTTGATAGGGTAGCTGCTAGGGTGCTAAACTGAGAACTAGAGATAGCAACACACATAAAAATCTAGTGCTCATATAGTTAGATATTTTTGTAAGTTTCTGTACGTGTAATTAAAGCTGGCCGTACCAAGATTCTATTGAGCCTAAGTCAACCCTTATAGAATGACGTTTCTTTCACACTCTATTCATGATTTGTCTCATACCAGCCGCACCCACTAAATTTCCACGAGGGCCCATGCATTAATATTCAGTTCGACCATTTCCATTGGACTGCGTCTTGACGATGACAGCTGTGACCCTGTGATCTGTGACTTTTCCACGAAGATCCTTGCTTAAGAATTAATATAAGATGCCCCTCGTTAGCCATCAGTGCAAGCTTCCCCTTTCGCGCGAGACAGCCATGGTTCTCATGCTCTTGCTTATCCTTTGCTTCCTGCCGATGATCGCCGCTCAGCCCTGGCAGATCTGCGGCACCCGCAACTACACGGCCAACACCACATACCAATTCAACATCGACTACGGTCTGTCATACTCGTCCCTTAGAACAGGCCGTCACCCTCTATTCGCCAAAGGCTCCACTGGTGAGCCCCCAAACACCGTGTACGCCGTCGCGCTCTGCCGCGGCGACTTGAACACTTCCTCCTGCAGCGCCTGTGTCGATGCCGCGTTCAAGGACGCAAGACAGCTGTGCGGGCTGAGCAAGGACGCGACCATCTTCTATGATGAGTGCACCATCCGCTTCTCGGACGTGTACATCCTTGACATGGATTCCTCCAACCGTGTGAATACTTCTGCTATTGTCGATGGAGCGCTCATCCTGATGAATATCAGCTCAGAGCCCATGTTTCCCGGTTGGGACGCCAAAAACCAGCAGGCGACCGGAAACTTCACAAGATTCTTCAAGAAGATGCTGAGTGACACGATAGCGCAAGTTCTCTCCACGACGAAGTACTACGCTGCAATCCGTGTGGACACGAATGATGGGAGCACCACCGTTCCACAACTCTACTGCTTGGCACAGTGCGCTCCTGACCTGGTTGAAGATATCTGCTACGACTGCATCCAAAATTTCAGCGACCTGGCCACAGCCAACTTCGCCGGGCGGCAAGGGGGGCGTGTTCTTGGTCTGCCGTGTAATTTGAGGTACGATACGAGTAAGTTCTTCGCCGGTGAGCCGACATGGATCTCCGGGTCGTCAAATGCGCTTGTTCCAAGTCCATCACCATCGCCACAGCTTGTCCTGCAACTACCTTCACCAAAACCCAAGAGTATGCACACTTTTCCTTTCTTTCCATATTACTTTCATTGTTGTCACCATATCATGCTTTGCAATCAATATACTATTTGCACTCAATAGAGCCCATAGGCAAAGTTTTGGCCATTGCCTTGGTTGCTCCACTACTGGCATTGTTTGTCTGCATCATCGTTTCGTTCAGATTTAGAAGGCACAATAAAGGTAAGCAAATCTACAGAAATATATATGTTATATTTATGAGTTTATAAACTAAATTAACTCGTAGTATCACATCGAGTCTTAATTAGGTAACATGAACATGAATGAAGACGAAGCACTAATTTTGGGACTAGATGGAAGGAATTCAGAATTTACAGTATTTGAATTCTCGCAAGTAGCAGAAGCCACAGGTAATTTCTCAGAAGAAAACAAACTTGGGCAAGGAGGCTTTGGTCCTGTATACAAGGTAAGATGGTAACACTACTACAGAACTGACATCCACTACTACAGAATGGACTTGTTGTCCCGGGCGGTAACAGCCTTTAGTCCCGGTTACCGCGCCGGGACAACGATCCCGGGACTAAAGGTGGATCCTTCAGTCCCGGGTCATCGAGCCGGGATTAAAGAGGGACCTTTAGTCCCGGTTGGTAACACCAACCGGGACTAAAGGCCCTCCAGCCGAGCGAACCTGGCGCACCCTTTAGTCCCGGTTGGGGTTACCAACCGGGACTAATGGTCCGGTTGGGGTTACCAACCGGGACTAATGGTTCACCCTTTAGTCCCGGTTGGTAACCCCAACCGGGACTAAAGGTTCCTTTTCTTTTTCTTTTTCTTTTGTTTACTTTGTTTTCAGTTCAGTTACACGTATTTGTTTAATATATAATATGTTTTTATGTACGTATTCTACGTTGCTAATATAAATACACGCATGCATATAATTACATCTAATTCTCATCTTGAGCATTATTATATTCGAATAAAGTATGAAACTATATATATTATAGATATATATATATATGTATATATACAACACTTTCATAATCTTGTTCTCGAAAATAACGATATCAATAAACATTTAATTTACATCATTTATTCCTTAAGATCAAAGTAGAACTCGCCGTTGGGATTTAGCACTTTTTCTAGAAGATATCCTGCTATTGACTCTTGAACTGCTTTCAGATGGTCTTTTTGCATGACCCTTCGTTTCAACCATTCAGTCTTGCATTTGAAATAAAAGGAAAAGTATTAATACACAGATATGTATATATATTCATTTAAAAATAAATAAAAATTGATATATACGTACTCTGAGGACATCTTCAGGAGTTCTTCTTATGTGCGCAGTGATAAATTCACAAACGTAGTATCCACACAAGTTATTACCTGGTTCCTGCCGCAAACACCAATGTACGAGAAGAAGATTATTCTCATCATCTCACACGTAAATTGAAGTACGATATAGTAATTAAACACATGGGGAAGTGTATATAGTACAACTTACTGGTATTTCAACTACATTAAGTGGTGCCTTGCAATCCTTGCGATGTTGCCGAATAAACTCTTTTCAAACCTCGTATGCGACCAATAATGTACGATCGTTAATAAATTATGGCAAAGTCTATTCAATAATAGTTAGCGAGAGATCGAAATTACCCCTGGATAATGTCTATCATATCTTGGTATAGTGCCCGTTCTTTTCTCAACGAGTCAAAGATTAGTAACCGACTTGAGTTTAACTCAATGACAATGAGTATCCAAGTGAAAACGCATTGGTTTATACACACACGTACATGCATATAAGTTGTATTGATATTACATAAAATGTGTAGACTACATTATTATTAACACTTACTCAAAGTTGTATGGGAAAAGTATTGTTGTCTTGTCGTCGTTTGCTTCACGAAGAACATCATGATATTCTCCCGTGCTCGGATACCCATCGCTCCTTGACAATAATACCGGTTTTGAATACGATATAAGGATCAATGAAGCCAACTTTGGTGTCTTGTATTCTTTGGAGCTCGACATCCGGAATCAGATATAAATATAAGTTACATGTGAGGATAATTATATACACGCACGCATGGAAGTGAGTTTATTAAATAAAAGTAAGAATCACTTACAAACAAAAGGAGCTAATGATTGATTTGTCCAGGGCGTCCATGTGGAATAGTTGATGCAATTCTTGAAACTAATATGTAAGATGTCATCGCCACGGAAGTAATGATGGTCTCTAAATCGACAAAGATCCACTTTGCTCACCCCGCCACCTGCGCTTTGCATGTACCACTTGTTGAGCAAGTACATTTGCGTACTCCAATTCATTCAGAGCAGCGAGGTTGTACAGGACTTTGCCATATTTATAAGTCTTCCGTATCAACTTCCGTGTTCGGATTGGAGCTTTGCCGTCAATTGATCCAAGGTTAAACCAGTATCTTTAAAAAAGCATTAAGGGCTTGAACCGACACTTCTTCTCAGAGTTATGTCCGGTCGATAGACTTCTATGTTGGAACCATATTCATTAGCAACAACAACAAGATTTTGCATTGGTTGCTTCTGTTGTCCGAGTTGTGGGACATCCTTCCGATGCTCTTTTCCTTTTCTTATCGCATCATGTGACTTTACGAGGGAGCGATCATAGTCCGATAGTGGCGAAGGCTTACTTAAGTTCAATCATCTTTTTCTTGTGAGCATCGACCTTACCTTTCAAAGACATCTCGTGGTATGTAAAAGTACGGCTTCTCCTTAAGCTTTGCTTGACTCTTGTTTTTGATATCTATAAAAAATCTTTTACTTTTTTGTCTTCTTCAATTGTTATTTGCTCATCGGTCTTTTTGTGAAGTATTTCTTGAGAAATAACTCTTTTTCTCGGGGTCTTCTTTGCCGTCGGGACCTTAGACGTCTTTGTAGTGCGTCGCTGTGGAGGGGGTGGGGGCGGTGTTGGAGATCGGCGTGGAGGCGATGAGGCCGGTGTTGGTGGAGACCGGCGTGGAGATGTTGGAGATCGTTGTGGAGGCGGTGGGGCCGGTGTAGGAGTTGGAGATCGTTGTGGAGGCGATGGGGCCGGTGTAGGAGTTGGCGATCGCCGTGGGGATGAAGTCGTCTCGCCCCAGCGACACTGTGATGAGATGGGAATGAATGATTAGGCTAGGGTGGGAGAGACCTGCTATAAAAACAATTTGTGTGTCAATTATTTTTGAAGCCAATAGAAAATTAATGGAAAATAATATTTCATTCACTTTCATTCGTACCTAGGGTGAGGTAGGGGAAGCGGTGGCGCCCCAAGAATGATGATGAAGCGTTTGCGCCATTGAATAAATGTCTTCTCTGTTTCTCCTAGTGTCTTCTCCCCATCACCGCCTTCAATGTCAAGAGGAACATTGCTGTAACCTTTGAGCACTCTATCGACCGAGACGCTAGCATATCCAAAGTTGAATAATCGACCCATGGATTCTTGGTGTCTTCGTTCGGTCTATTGGAGATACAACCCGGCAAATACCACCATGATTGATGCATTACCATCCGGAATGTGCAGCTCACATTTTGTTAGAGGCTCGGTAATGTCATCAACAGGAAGCGCAACCAGCGTCGCCTTGAATAATCTGGTAGCTCCGTAGAAGCACAATCGCTTTTCATCGACCAACGGGCTAATGGTGACTCCGGCGTTGATTGCGATTGCATTTGACTCATTGCTAGTTGCACTTGCCTCTTGATCTCCTCCTCGCATTCTTGCCTCAAGAGATTTTTCTCGTTCACGTGATTCAAGCAATGCTTGTCGTGACTCATCAACAAATTGCTCCAATGCACAAATTCGCTCGCCTCCTCATCCTTCTTTCTCTGGCGGCTTCAGAGGTATCCTTGTCTGCTTTGGAATGCGTGTAGCCACGGAACCGCCCCCATAGCCTCTTGTTCGACCACCGTGTTCGGGATTCTCTAGGGCATATGTCAATTCATCCTTCTCTCTGTTGGGCTTGAAAACACCACTATCGCCTTCTTCCCTAGCACGAGCTAGTCTCTGTGTTGCTCTCTCAATTTTTTGGCCGAAAATTAGCTTGCCGATGTATCGGGTCTAGGCTTCCCCATGAGCGTAGAACCAATTCTTCGCGTTGTTGAGGGTTCTTCTTTTCTATTGTTTGGTATGATTCCTTGGCAATAATCTCTCGCTTCTAGGTTACGCCACTTGGGAATAGCACTCCTATAACCACCGATCCCATGCGATGATGGTATTGCTTACATCGGGCATTCTCGCCGATTCCTCATCACACGTTCCTCATTGTCTTGAGATGTCTTGTATTCTACAAAGGCATCCCAATGGGACTCAACTTGACAAACGCCTTAGCATTGAAATTGGCGTAGCATTCTTCAAGATAAACTTTTTATACAATGTCTTCTTCCAACTCTGGAACAATGTTGCCATCTTCTTCATTGTCCAATCCTCACTAGCTCCTTCAAAGCATCATACGCTTGTAATGTGAAATCTTTGAGTGATATCTCTCCAAGCTAGGTTCTTATCACGATCGATACAAAACTAACATTAGGAGCGGATATCTTTCGCTTCCATTCACGAGCACTAAGCGGGATCCTATCCTCACAATGAACCCACATTGATTGACATATGTCCGAGCATGTGGTCCCAATGGTTTGCGGTGTCGGTGTCGAATTTCGATATTATGAAACGACCCTCTAATGGCTTTTTTTGGCCTCGGACTTTCCTACTTTTTGTCGGTGGTTGATGTAGATCCGAGAGACCGGCTACATGAGTAGAAACACAACGATTAACAACAAATATACATACGCATGCATCTATAAGAGATGATAGATAATCGAATATACCCGCGATATTTTCTTGCGCGACAATTTGTTGATCTTCAACCACCGCATATTCGGGATATCCTCATAATCAGCAAAATCTTCGACTCGTGTCATCTACATCCACATTGGTGCGGCGTTGATAATATCCGCCATTATGTCATCACTCAAGTTATCATCCGGAGCAGACCATTTGTATCTTCAAGATAACACATAGATAGAATTATTATGGTACATAACATAAGTACATGTGATAACACATATAGAATTACTAAATCCAATTAAATATAATAACACATAATATTTCATAAGGATAAACATAAGAATTACATAAGGTATAGGCTTTGGAATCGAATCAAAAACACTTTCGATCCAAAAACATGAAAATAAGTACATGTATATATATACACATAGAATGATACAATATATTTTCTCTCTCTCAACACATAGAAATAAGTGCATATGTCTATATCTCTAGATATGCATGTGATAACACATAGAATGTCTCTCTAGATGCAATTTTTCTCTCTCTCAACTTATGAAAATAAGTACATGTATATATACATATAGAAATAATTAAGTACATATGTATACATATAGAATCTCTCTCTAGATATATATATATAGAGAGAGATAGAATATATAATTACTAAATCCAATTAAATAAAT